TTAAATAAATTAAACTTTTTTAACAGGTGGCAACTCTTAAAAAAATAGCCTATTAACCAATCTGGCCCATAAGCTATCTGCGTACCAAATTTCATGCACGTCCGTTCAGTCGTTTCCGCGTGATGACTTCCCAATCATCCAAACATACAAACTTTCACATTTATAATATTAGCAAGATAACCTCTTTGGTGAAATGTGCATGAAATTCTCGATGAAGAACAAAACCAAACATAGCAAGTGAAAACTAAGTACAAAACATACAAGAAAGTCATATACAGTAAAACCCTCTTAAGTACCTCACGAAAAATTTCAGCTTTTTGAGGTACTTAGGCGGGTTGGGTACTTAAAAGTACCCTCTTAAGTACCTCAATGCGGGTACTTAAGCGAACATAATTGTTGATGTAGTTACATTTTTTTGTTAACTTACATAAATATATAAATCCTTGAATAAAACATGAACATTTAATAAAGTATACGTAGTTTAAAACCAAGACCGTAGCATTATTCAAGATTTTTCAATTAAAATACAGTTCATTCCCTAACAAATTCCATATAAACCTAAGCTTAAGATTTTATAGAACACTTAAAGAAAAAAATTCACCAGAATTTTAAATTTTTTTCCCAGAAGTGTTTTTGAGTATACAGTTTTATAGCCCATTCAGTTTTATTGTAATAATGTGCAAGTTTCAAGTAGCTAAATATTACCATTGATTTTTTAGAATTTTGTACCGAAGGTGTGTAACGCTGCTACTGAATTTCAAAATACGTAAATATCTTAAGGAATTTTAAAAGAGCACTTAAAAGGGGAAAATAATAAGTAAAATTGTAAATCAGGCACGAAAAAATTAGGTACTTAGGCGGGTTGGGTTAATAAGCGGGGAGATACTTAAAAGAGGGATTTTCTTCAGATTATATTAAAAAATTCGCGGTGTCCAAAAATGTTGGTTACTTAAGCGGGTTAGGTACTTAAGCGGGGGGGGGGCACTTAAGCGGGTTCCACTGTAATCTTTGTTTACGGATGCCAGACGTATTGATTTTATCAGTACAGTACTGATTTTTCAACTCTTGTACTGATTTTATTCATTTCTTCAATCAGTACGCTAATGTCCTGATTTTTCAAAATTTGTACTGATTTGTACCGAATTTTCAATTCGCTTTATAACTTCCTTATACGGTAGACAAACGGGCTCGATTATTTGCATAACCAGCCTTAATTTGCTTTAACTCATGCATTTTCCTCTTTAAAATGAGCATAAGCAGCCGAACAAATGCACGAAATTTTTGGGAATTAACTCGGATCCGGGGAAATTTCGATGACAACACTGGTAAAAACGGCCAGTTGTTGTCTGTTGTACAAGAAAGCAAACGAAGCAGTCGAGTTCCGCGTACGCGGTAGCCGAGTGGTAGAGGTGTCAAACTATCGATAGTCACACCATCGATAGTTTTGATAGTTTTCAGAAAAACTATCAATATTCACGATAGTCGCGAAAAAACAAAACTATCGATAGCACTATCGATAGCGCTAAATCAGTTAGGTTGCTTTGTTTTACAGGATCATAGTGAAATAAATATTATTTTATAAATGTTATAATCATTCAAAATTAAGTAAATGCTTAGCCAAAATACTTCTCTTTTTAGAAAGTTCAAAAACAAACACAAGTTATACAAACAAAACAGAATTTACGATTAACATATGCATGTATTTTGGCCTAAATGCGTGCATATTTGAATATGACGTCGGCATCACACTAAAAAACCAAATTTTTAATTAAAATTAGAAAATTTAAATAATTTCAAAATAATTGGTAGAGATGATCGATAGTCCTACTAAACTATCGATATTTTCGATAGTATAAGAAAAAACTATCAATGAGTATTGATAGTCTAAAAAAATTGAAACTATCGATACTATCGATAGTGCCATCGATAGTTTGACAACTCTACCGAGTGGTGAGAGTTGCGAGCTACAAGCCTGTAGCTGCCAGGTTCGATACTCGGTTGGAGCGATTGCGAAAAATTTTTTGTTTTTATTATTTATTTTATATTATTTTATTTATATATTTCATTTTACTTTATTTTATTTTCATTTGCTTTATTTTATATCACATTTCTTATTTTACTATTAGTTAATTTTAATTTTTAGATATGAATTTTGTTAAAAATTCAACAACAACTAACTGAAAGTAACGTAAAAAAATATAAAACTTATAAAAAAAAGAATGAAAAATAAATAAAAAAAGTATACCGGCCGTAGGACTCGAACCCACGACCTTGCGGCTGGTTTATTCGCATTACTGCCGTCTGTAAGGGTAAAATTTTAATTTGCATTTATGCTTATTAATTCAAATTAATTTTCTCCGTCTGTCTACCATATTAAACTGTGTACTGTAAAAAGTAAGAAGAAAATAATTTAATTATAGTCGACATGCTGCAGATAATGTTTGATGTGCCAAAGAAGTTAAAACAACAAAAAGATGAATCGTTTTATGGGCATATCGCCGGGTCATTTTTGTGCCAGTTACGATAATATGATGAGCTTAAATTATTTAAAAAGAAAGCCGACGATTTTTTGTCGAGTGTTGCTAGTTATCTCGAAAATAACTTTCAGTTTAATAAAAAAAAGTTTAATATTCACATTGCTTTTGCCTATAACGTACAATTCTTTTTTCACAATTTACTGCCATTGCAAAAGGGTTTTGCATAGAGTTGCAAAACTATCGATAGTGGCACCATCGATAGTTTTTGATAGTTTAAAAAAACTATTGATAGTCTTCGATAGTCTCCAAAAAAATAAACTATCGATAGTACTATCGATAGTACTATCGTATTTAAATGGTTCCTAGAAAGAATTTTTTAACTGCCAATAAATTCATATTTATTTTTGTACTTATGTATGTATGTACATTCAGAAACACATTCACATGTACACCTATGCCCAAAATATTAGAAACACGAAATTTTGACCAGTTTTTACTATTCTTTTCGTTAAATTTTTTATATACGGTTCATTAATTTTTTATAAATGTATAGCTCGTTATATAACAAAGACCATATAAATCTAAATTTCAAACTATGTACGAAAATTTGAAAAATTCAAGAAAGCATCAAAATTTCAAACTTTTATAACAAAGTGCAAGTTTGAAGTCGGCAAAAAATTGCGTAGATTTTTGATAATTTTTTTCTTTTTGCTGGTGGTGTTGCGCACTTTCTCCCATATAAAACAGTTTCGAACATACTTTGTATGGAAGGAAATGCGTGACACTGTCAGCAAAAAAAAAGCCTATATTCAAAGTCATTTTCAGCAGGTTTCAAACTTGCACTTTATTATACTAATATAATCGACTACCAAAAGTTATTCTTAAAATTCTGATTAAAAAAGTTCGAAATTTTGATGCTTTCTTGAATTTTTCAAATTTTTGTACATAGTTTGAAACTTAGATTTATTGGTCTATACGAGCTATACATTTATAAAAAATTAATGAACCGTATACAAAAAAAACTAACGAAAAAAATAGTAAAAACTGGTCAAAATTTCGTGTTTCTAATATTTTAGGCATAGGTGTGTATAAAAACTTAACAGAAAAGTGGAAAACAACGAACTTCTTTAACAATACGTATTCACGAGATCATCCATGAGTTTTTGTTTATAAAAAGGAGCATGTTTACATTTTTTTCTTTAAGTCTAGTACGCCTGTCGGATATTACGGCCCCAGCCTTGCTGAACATTCGTTCCGATTCGCTTGAAGTAGCTGGAATGCAGAGGTACCTGAGTGCTAAAATTTGTAAATGTCGCATATCAGACGTTCTAGTCTGAAATGTAGACATATTGTTAATAATACATATAGGCAATGCATTATCTGAAGTATTACCAACCTTCCAGTACTCCAATGGGTCTGAATTTAAAGGTTCATTGGGCTTTTCCGCATATTCACGTAAAGCGATAACAGAATCGGCTCTATTTGATTTTATTTTGCAGGAAAGTTTTTCTTTCATAAATTCGTAAATTTCAGGTACTTCCATACTTTTAGATGTTGACGGTTCCTGTATGTCGCCCTCCAATGTCGACGCAGTAATTCTTTTCACCTCAGCTAATTCATTTTCCAGTACAGCGAATGCTTGTGATACATTTTGAGCAGACCGAAAGCCTTCCTTTTTAAACCTCGGGTCTAATAGGGTAGCCAGCCTTGAAGCACTTCTGGTTTCGTAAATAAAAAGCCTCTGGTGAATTCTTTCGGCTAAGTACGTACATGTGTCTAATCCCACAGCTGTTTTCAATTTGCATTTCGACTTCAACATCGTGGAATATAAACCCCAGACTATAGGAATTATATGCGAAATCGTCACGTATTGGTTCCCCGATATAATGTTTGTATTTGCGTTGAATGGTCCCAATAATAAACACAAATCTTCAAGTTGCTCTACCTCGTCTGCTGTAAAAACCTGTGGTGCTTTTGGTGTGCTTAAAAGTACTGAAAATATTGCATCTTTGATGACTAAAATTCGTTGCATCATAGCAAACGCGCTATTCCACCTTGTAGGCACTTCCTGAATAAGGCTATACTGTTTTCCATCCCCCTGCTCCTTCCTTAATCTTGCATAAGCAATAGTGCTGCTTTTAAAGTAGGCCACTATACGTTTGCATTTTGTTAGAATTACTTTGACCTTTTCCGTCGACAAAGCATCTTGCACCACAAGATTGATGGAATGTGCAAAACAGGGTAAATTTTTTTTCTCAAGAAGTTCGCAAGCCTTAAGCATTGAAACAGCGTTGTCTGTAACCACGTAGTTAACTTTTTCAAGTATATTCCATTTGTTTAGGCACTCACGCAGTGATTGTGAAATATTTTCAGCTGAGTGATTCAGTTCATTTGCAAGCTTCGATGTCCCTAAAACAACCGATCGCAATTTAAATTCGCTGTCTATGAAATGGCACGTAACGGTGATATAGCTTTCATTCGCCTTTGATGACCAACCATCTGTAGTTATAGCACAGCTATCGATATTATTAAGGTTAGCTTGCAATTTTTTCTCCAAATCATCAAATATTTTCTGCAAATGAACATTTTGAATAGTAGGTCGGGATGGCAATTTATACCGCGGGTCCAGACACTGCACGAACTCCCTAAACCCCTTGTCTTCGACTATACGAAACGGTTGTATATCCGAAGCAATCATTCTTGCGAGAGCTGAATCCAGTTCTGCTTTCCGCGAGGAATTGCTTTCATAGGTGGAATTGGATTTTTTTGGAAAATAGCCTTCTAGTGTGGGGTCAGACTTTGTGGGTTCAATAAGCAAAGGGTGCGACCGCTTAAGATGATCCAAGAGGTTCGTAGTGTTTCCGCTCGTTTTGTACATTTTTTTACACGACAAACATTTGGCGTTCTTTTTGTCAGGGTGCAGCTTAAAATGTTTCCAAACATTTGAATTGCCCTTTCGTCGCTTTTTCCCAACAAGAATTTCTGTAAGTATTTTTAATAATATATTAAGGGTACTCATTTAAAAGCGCAAAGCTCTCGCAAACTGGGAAAACTGTGCAATTTAAATCCTTCGCAAATGAAATGTCAAAATTTTTACGGAAAGCCATTTGCAGAAAAAGGCAAAGGGCGCAAATTTGCGCAGTGTATTGCGCAATCCTCAATCAACTATTTTGTTTACTTTCATTTTGATTTGTGCTCAACGCTTTTTCTTAGGACTTAAATATTTACTTAAACTCGAGTTTCAATTATTCCACATTTTTAATTAAGCATTGTCAAATAAATATCTGAAATTGCACAAAATATAAAATTTTCCTCATGAAACACACTGCGCAAAGTTGCCCAATTCCCCAAATATGAAACTTGGGCGCATGGATGAGTGTACCCTTATTGTAATAAGCCTGTTAAAATTTTTATCGTATAAGTTCTTTTGCTTGACGCGTTGCTTTCCGAGAAATATA